ATAATATAATATATAATATTTATATTATTATATTATACAAAATATAATATAATTATATTATTATATATATAATCTAAAATATTATAAAATATAATATTATATACTATTATATTATATAATATTATGTTATAATAATATTATATTATATTATATCATATTAATAATACCAATATTATGTTTTTATATCATACATAGTGAATAGCGATCGATAAAAAAGTTATTAAAGATTAAGTTTCTACTTCCCCTAGGAATTTATTATTTCACTTTTTAACAAAGGAATGCAAACTTTTGTTGAAAGATTAGTTTTCGAACTTTAGATGGAAGTGTGAAAAAAACATAATTTTTTAAAAATATGAAATAAAATTTTTAGAAAAACAAACACGTCCAAAGGGTGTTAGGATTTCTCACTTACAAGGATGGACCATTTAAAACTCACGCACACACTAATGCTGTGTATCTAAAATACACATGATCATTTTTCATCTATTTCTTCCCCTCTTTTTGCTTTGTGACTATAAACTTCTTCAGCTCTCTGATCCAATGAAATTTAATATTAAGAATAAAAAAAATAATCAGAAAATGTTACCCCTGTTAGAAACACTTTAATTAATCATCTAGACCTAGAGATGTGTGGATATAAAAGAAAACGATTTAACTTGTAAAAAAATGGTGAATCATGTAACACATTATCTAGACCGTCTGTTTTCATGATTTTTAAGTATTTATAGATATGTTTAATCTGTACTATCTTGAAGTTTTAAATTTCTTAATTTTTAAATTTCTTAATTAAGGGTTGACATAGATTTTCAAGCCATAATAAGTGTTTATGGCAGTTTGGAGGAGTGCCTTACTTGGTTAAGGTCGACACTTTATATATATCACATCCCTTTTAAAATGGAAAAAGTTTATATAAAGTGTCAACCTCATGCTATACAAGTAAGGTGCACCTAAAAAAGCCACTAGAGAAAGCGGTTCCTATGCCGGGAAACCCTCAAACCAATCATCTTGACCTCGAGTATTATAGAAAAAAAACAAAAACAAAAATTTTATTAGTAATAAAAATAGTTCATCTTCTAACACATTATCTGGATCGTCCATTTTCAAGATTTTAAGCATTTATAGATTTACTTGATCATCACCATTTCTGAAACTTTAAAATTCATAATTGGGGGCAACAATTGATTCTCATATAATCCCATTGCATGGAAACTGCATTTTCGGCATAGTTTTGAGGTGCTCCTTACTTCAACAGTTTAACAAACCTCACCCTTTTAAAATAGTGTGAAAATGGCCTCACGAGGTCTTACCAAAAAAGCATCTGACCTAGCAAAAACGAATCCTTAACCTTAAAAATGTGGATATATGGAAATCACAATTTTATTTGATCAGTGAAATTTCAACTTATTAGTGCTACACCATGTTTGGATTGCAAAAGAACCCAGGAGTTATCTAGAAATTGGGAATAAATCGTTGTTCTCGTAATTACTGAGTTCATGGCAGCATGTTGCTGATAAACAAATCTGAACAAATGACAAATTCCAGTAAATAGTGGAGCAAACCAAGTTGAGCCATTTTTAACGTGAATAGTGGAGCAAACGAAGTGACTTTTCACTCATAAATGGGAGGAGGAAAAACATCTTCCGAAAATTGGGCCATGAGTCCAAGACTCGGCCACCTATGCAACCCTCATAACTGTGTGTTGTTTGTCACCAATGGCAACAATTAGGGCTGGCAATGGGTTGGGTCCGGCTGGTCCTGAATCAGATAAGGTTTTGGACTTGGAACCAATTTTTTGGGTCTAAATTTTGGACTATACTCGGATCCGAGGTCTGGTCAACCCGTCGGGTCCCAGGTCTGGTCGATCCATTGCCACCCGATGACTGAGTTTTTTTTCTTTTTTTTCTTACCATAATATACCTATATTATTGGCAACATTTACATTATTGCACAACATTTATGAATACCCACATATACCCACTTTGCTAACTGTTTTACGTGATAATTGGAAATTGCTAAGAAACAAACGTATGGGCAATATTTATGAATACCCACATATACCCATATTATTTGGGTCGGGTGCGGCTTGACTCGGACCTAGAACCAGACCCAACCTTTCGGGTCTAAAATTTGGACCCATACCCAAACCTAAGATCGGGTCTACCCATTGGATCCCTAGTTTGGTCCGGTCCATTGCCACCCCTGGGCAACAATGGACATCCACTTTGGTTGTTCTTGCTAATGCTATTTATAGCGTACTGAACAGTATGCCACAAATAGAACAATTTTCTTTTCTATAGAGAAAATCTTAATTTTTTTTATCTAGGTGATTGCTAAGAATAACTTTGATTCTTAAACTGTCTAGCTAAGAATTGATTTTTGAATTATGTTCACAAACAAACATTTGTAACTCAATTTGAATAGTTAACATAAAAGCACCACGGTACAAGGAACAAGAGACAATGACTAATGGGCCTTCCCCAACTTGGGAATGCCAATTTATTTATAATCAAAGATGAAAGCTACAAAACATGCAATCACAAATATTAAAGAGTGTCAATTTATTCAAAATCAAAGATGAAAGCCACATAACTTTCAAATACAGATATACCAGCAATTAAAGCAAATAATAAATCAACCAACAAAAAAGAGAGAAAAGAATAATGCCTAGGCACATTTGAAGCCCTTGGGGAGCTTTTTCCCACAAGTGTTCACCAATAAACTTAATGCCACATCAATAGCATGCTTAATTCCCAAGATGTTTGCCTTGAGGGCAGTGCAAAGGCAGACTGCTGAATCCAAATCAACAAGGCCATCTAAAAGAGAGCAACACTTTTTCCAAGATGGACCACCAATGACCAAATGGGCCACCCCATCTAACACATCAGCACAAACAGCCAGCTTTAGGGTATCCTTAGGGCAATAGGGGTACACAGAGGGTGCACTAGGACTTGGCTTATGATGGTGGTCCTTAGGAGTAAGAGGGGAACATGGCAAACAATTTGAGGTCACATAGGCAAAGAAGAAGAGATTTAGAGTGAGGAGAACAAGGCCAAAGACTTTTGGAGTCATTTCCTCCCCTTAAACCAACCTTCTCTTTTGCTTGTGTTGAGAAGGGCACTCAATAGTTGAGGACTTATTTGTGTGTGTTTTGCATTTGGTATAGAAGAGTGGGTATTTATAGATGAACTGAGCTAAGGGATGAGATGCTTAAAGTTACTTGAAAAATATATGTCCATGTGATCATGGTTTCCAACAATAGCTGTCATCACTAGCTAGAGCAACATATAAGCCAAGAGTTTGAGTTACATAGACCTTTCAAAATGAATTGTTCTCTGTGAAATTTCTTAGAGTTCCCATGTGAACTTGCTCACTTTCTAACTGTCTTTCCAATTCATGAGTTGGAGTTACTTTCAGTAGATGCCATCCTATTACAACTCAAATATGTCCAATTTGATAGGTTTACTAGACTAGAAATACTGTGGTAGTGGTGGTATTGATGACGATGGCTTTCGCAACTTCCCACGTTAGAATCGTGCTCCTGACCTACCATTTTTTTTTTTAAAATAAGAGTATCTGTCTGGAGAAAATTTTTATTAAAAAAATTTGCATATCAAAAGATTCCTCACAATGTAAATCCAATCACTTGCACAAGCAACTATTTACATGTAGAAATCATTTTGTGTGTCCCTGTGAACAATAATAGATTATAATGCTCTTTGACCTCAAAAATCAATTTTGAGGTATCTGAGAGACTGAATATCAGTCACATATCAAAGAATACTCCACATATAATGCCTCAGAATAATGTTCTTCCACTCAAAATGAATGGCAATCTCCTCCAAGGAAACATTGTTCTCAAAAGAAAAAAAGATTTGGAGCTCCAAAAATGCTCCAAGTCTATTGCCCCTGCCAAACTAAATGTATAATGTCCATTCGTATGGGCAGTGAACACAACAGGCTTTAAGATCTCTAGATCAAATTTTATTTGGAAAAGCCCTTGTAAAAAATAATATCTTCTTAAAAATTTGCCTAGATCTTCACAATGTTCCAAATCTATTGCTACCCAAAACTCAAATCTGTGTTGTTTATTTGAATGGACGATGGATCTAAGAGGATTCAAGGCTTCTTGGAGCTTCAAATCAAATCTTATCTAGAGGATTAAGAGTGGTGACTGAGTTTATTTATTTAGGTCCCTCAACTTAACTTAAAGGAGGTTTATGAGGTAGAGGTGCATTATATGTAAAGATTCTCGGATGCTCTGATACCAATTGTAGGAAATGGGTGCATAGCAAATCGGACTAAAAATTGAAACGCTTTGGTTTCTTATAACATAGCGTGGATACACACTTACATCAACTACATCACTTTCAACACACGACTAACCAACCACATGCTCGCCTCATGTTCAACACACAACAACTCAACTACAACCCCATGCCCATGCCCATGCCCATGCCCATGCCCTACTCGTACATCAGTTGTCAACAACTCAACTACAAGCCCATGCCCATGCCCATGCCCTACTCATACATCAGTTGTCCATTTCATATGCCCAACCAACTCACACCCTCTATTATTGTATTACATTGCATTTGCACACGCACTTACAAATGAGACACAGAAGCCCCTATTTATCAAGCTTTTAACCGCCTTTCCATATGGTTCTTGGTGAGCCATATAGACCACCGCCTTATATTCCTTTTTTAGTAAGGAAGAAAGATCGGTTTTTAACTAGAGAGAAAGAGGGGTTGCGTTGCTCTCTACATTATGGCCTAATGTTCCTAGGGATATACAACACAGATATCTGGATTGGTGCTTCATGTGGCTTGAAGATCATCATCATCAACATTACTATCATTCGAGCTTTATTCCAACTAACTTTGACGTTCGAATATTTAAATGCATCATATAACCATACGGTGCGCTTATAAAATCATTGCCACGATTCACAAACTCGGAACCGAACCCAAGCTCAGGGGGTAAGGTTGGTCTAGGACTCGGGGGCTCAATTTGGCTGGTCAAAATTTGAGGTTAATTTGATTTTTGAAAAATTATTAAAATTTAAATATGATTAGTAATGATGAGTTATGAGTGAAATACAACATAAATTAACTCATGGACGTTGTAAACTATTTTCTTCTCTCCCTTTAGTAATTTGCAGAATATCTCTTCATCCCCACTTCTTTTCTCGTTATTTTTGTTTGTACAAGTGGTCCATTTGATAGTTCATCTCAACCACTTGGCAGCACCTCTTGTCTGAACGTGGGAAGGAGTATAACGCGTGTACTAACAACTATAAAACCTTAAAGAGTATGAGACATTTGTTAGGTGTGTGGCCATTAAAGACCTTATGAGTGTTTGTACATGAACTTATTCATATAGTAGAACATGTACTCAGTGGGAGTGTGGTCTTGGGTAAACCATACTAAGCAAATGATGTTTGCTGATACCAGAGTGTGTTTTATGAGCTAGGTCAGTTTGGTCTTATCGGTTAAATGTGTTATCCCCTGATGAGGTCAGAGTATGTCTAGATGAGTGAACCGATGGACTGCATGACCTATGTGTGTGGTGGAAGCTTCTAGAGATGGGGTCAAAGCCTCATCCGCATACCATCACATGACATGCACTTTGATAGCTGTTTTCGAGAAAGAAAACCACCTTTCAAGGTGAAGTGTGTACATGTATGGGAGATAACCCATATACACCATCAAGCAATGGATTGCATCTGGTCTAAGTGACCTCGGTTCATCTCTAAAGGAGAACCTGAAATCCATAGACTGAGACTAAGACCCCTTGCCCATTTGTCAGACTTTGATGACCCACTAATGATTCATTGCATGGACTGTAGGTCATGGGCAATGCTGTGTCGGTTTGAGAAAACATGTGTGGTTTGTGGTCT